AATTCTATCTAATGCTATTTGTTTTAAACACATATAAGACCAATGCATGTAAAGGACTAGCTCATAGGATATATTCAGTAAATTGTAGTTATTTAAACTACTAGTCTTTCCCCAAATTTTATTTTTCTTTTAACTCTAAACAGCTAAAAATGTTACCTATTAGTGCAAATAACTTACAAAATAACTTTGTAAAAGTTTATTATTTATAAATAACTCATGGTGGCTATAAGGTGAAATAAAGGAAGTATGGAGGGAGGGATGACACAAAATATCCCAAAGTGAATGAGTAGGATGGGGCTTCATATTTAGACATATTTTCTATAACTCTATAGAAGCACACATAAACCAATACAGTTCAGTTTGAAAGCAAACTGTTTTCTTTCTCATTCTTACAGAGTTGTCAAACTGGGTGGAATTAAGAGTTGATGGGTGTGGGTACCTTCTTTCAGGCACTGTCATGAATGGGCCACTTGGCAGACAACATTGGATGTGGCTGAGCTAGCAGATGTATTGGGCTCTAATAAAAAAGGCTTGGGTATGTTGCCATAAAGTAGTGGGCCCACGAGGTGGCCATGTTAGAACTGACAATCTCTAAAGCAGGATATGTGGGGGAAAAAATAAGATAATAATGCAGAGCAAATGTATAATGCCTACATCATTTCATTTGGATGTGACATCAGTCACACTTCCACATCTAACCTTACACATAAGATAGCGGCCTGCAGTAGCTTCCTTCTGCTTTGGATGAACCACAGCAAGCCTAGTTGCTTTGTCTGCTTCCCTACCAACAATTGGCTAATCAGAGCAGTCTTCATTTCTTTGGTGATAGCAGATGAAGTTATGCTACTGTAAAACTATCTGTGGCTTTCTAGCTGTGAGGAGTATACTATGTGAGCTATATGTGTGTGAGTGAGAGAGAGACAGAGATAGAGAAAGAGAGAGAAATCCTGCATATTACCTGTTGGCATATCTCTGTGCTCAAACTCTGATGTCTGTTGCAATCCCATGTGCTCTGTTGTGTTCTTTTGTGAAGAGAATGGACAATGAGGCTTTGGAGAACTCCTAAGCAGAGGAGAGGCCATTGTCCTCTCTGTCCTCATTTACCTTTTCTCCTCCTCACTGTAGGATCTCATCTCCCCTGTCCATGTATCCTTACCTTTCTAATATTTCCTCTCCCAGCCCTTGCTTGGAGCAGTATCACAGCATGAGCCCATGTGCTTACACATGGTGATGGGAGCCCCTTCAAGCCTCCTGGTCCCAAGACCATCCTATCACATGGAGAGAATCTTTATAATGAAGAGGACATCCCTAATTCTAGGCATGATCCAGAATCCCCAAGAGTCCTCTGGGCATAAACTTGGGCTCATGGGTCATTAAGCCCATCTCTTTGTTCCTCCCTACTGCTTCTGCAGAGACAGATCACCAGACCAGATATAACTCCTAGCTCAGGGGAGATTATGTCTCCTGAGCTGTTAGGAAGGGAAATATCCTGAAGGGGAGTCTGTACAGGGAATGATATTGATTCTGCTCCCTTCAGAAGCCATGAAAATACTAAGTTTTACACCATTAAGTCTTCAAAGTGTGTCTTCTTAGGAAACTGCCACTAGTGACACTTCTGCTTTGTTTAATATAATAAATGTGTGAATCCTGCTGAAGTTTGGGGTTATGACTGTGGTTTCAAAAGATGAGGACCACCAAAATAAATATATTAGACTGTGGCAGCAACTCTATTTTATTTAAACAGTGTTTGTACCTGTCGATAATAGTATCAACTCTCTTCCAAGTCAACAAGAGTTCCTTTACAACCTCTAACTAATTGTAAACAGTCTTTGGAGAGGGGATTTCATGTGTTTTAGCTCTTTTGGCAGAAGGTGAAGGAAACTCTACATTCTCCTGAGAAAACAGAATCTAGCTAGAGCTCAAAGTCTAGTTTACTTGGAGTCTCCTGCCCTGGATGACGATGGAGTAGACCTGCTAGTACCATAGGCCATAAAGCAGAATTTTCCTGAGTACAGACAGGAAGACTGGAGGACAATTGAATACATTAGAAAACCAGTTTCTTATCTTCTAAGTTCAGATAATTTTCAGTGGTTAAGAAAGAGAAGAAAATATCTGTGATCCAAAAGAATTCTGGTTAGATCTGCTGCTATGTTCTCCTTTGCATTTCCTCTCTTTTTGATGAATGAAAACCTTACTCCCTAGCCTCTCTCTGGTCACTCCTTCATGGTATCCATCCTCCCTACTCTATCAACATTTATCTTTCCAAATCAAATCTAATTTTTACTTAATATTTCTTTTTATGACCTCTGTGGATCCATTATATACTCTGGGCTTTAAATGATAAATTATGAACACCACTATTGGGAAAGTCCTTCAGTGAATGTCCACATACCCTTTAATTCTACTTCATGACTCTCCAAACCATTACACCATCTTTGGTGATCAAAAGTCCTACTTAGGAAATAAGCTGCTGCTCATTTCCACTTTCCTTTGGCTTTCTCCCCAATTCCCATGCCCTCTATGATGACCTTCTTTAAAAATCATCCAGATACCATCTCTAGGTCTCTTATTTTTATATTGTTGTGTACTGCTATTATAACATACTCATTTTTTCCTTGGGTTTTAGTGTTTCCTACCTTTCCTAATTTTTTCCAAATTTTATTGTAGTAGAATATATGTAACATAAGATTTACTGTCTCAACCATTTTTAAGTGTACAGTTCAGTACATTTATATCATTGCACATTCATAACCACCATTTATCTCTAGAACTTTTTCATTTGCAAAGATTAAAACTCCCCCATAGCCCCCTCACCCTTTCCCCTGGCAACTACCATTCTACTTTTAATTTTTTTATCTCTCTTTTTACCCCAACCCCATTCTACTTTCTGTTACTGTAAGTTTGGCCTTTTTAAAAAAATTCCTTATAAAACTGAGATCATGCAGCATTTGTCTTTATATGACTGTCATAGTTCACTTTAGCATGATGTCCTCAGGTTCATCTGTGTTCTTTCAATGGCAGGATTACCTTCTTTTTTTAATTTCTTTTTTTAATTTAAATTTTAGTTAATATACAGTGCAATATTTGTTTCAGGAGTAGAATTAAGAGGTCCTTCTTTTTTAATGCTGGGTAAGATTCCATGTGTGATTTAGTTTCATACTAGGGACTGACCAGAGAGATTCCATGGTTAAGTCAAGGGGTATTTGGTACCTCATTACTTTAAGGGATAACGAATATGAAACTAACTCCTACATGTAAAATTAATTGGATGATTATAAGAACTTGTGGACATGTTAGTTCTTATTGTTTCTCTTCTACTGTTACCTCAATATTAACTCATTTCACTGAGATTGAATGATCATCATTAGTAATATACTTTAAAAACATTTGTTTTGTATATTAAATTAACAAAAATCACTGGGATTAGCATAGAATTGGGTGAAGTAATTAGTATGGTAACTCCTGGAGTAAAATTTCACTGTATTTGATCTTATTTATCATTTTTTCTTTTCTGTTGCTGTTTTTGAAAACCAAGATTGCATTTTTTTTATACTGCCTTCATCCATTTCAGAAACCTCTGTTATACTCACTTTTAAACATTCCAAATTTTCTAAGGTTCTTTACAGTCCAGCTTATTTTTCCATCCCATTTCTTATGTTTGCATTTTTGATGTTCATGAATAATTTTCTTTTTTCTTCTTACATATTTCAACGCCCAGCAAAAGCCATCCTGTTAAAAATGGGTAAAAAAGGGGCGCCTATGTGGCTCAGAGGGTTAAGCCTCTGCCTTTGGCTAGGTCATGATCCCAGGGTCCTGGGATCCACCCCTGCATCGGGCTCTCTGCTTAGTGGGAAGCCTGCTTCCTCCTCTCTCTCTGTCTGCCTCTCTGCCTACTTGTGATCTCTATCAAATAAATAAAATCTTAAAAAAAAAAGGGTAAATAAGTATTCATCCTTGCTGTCTCCAGCTACTTTGTAGCTAAAGGATATGCCAGGTCTCCTATTTCACACCAGATACCTCATCTTCATTTGCATTACCACTATCCAAATTCTAGTTCTTCTTGAATCACAAAGATACCTGAAAATTAACTGTGCTTCACTAATTGTCTATATCTTACCCTTCCCAAATCTAGTACGAGATAAGACTTTCTAAAATTCCACACAATCATTTTACTCACCACTTCATAAACTTCAGTAATATTCAATTTTCTATACAGTAAACTTCAGACCACTGTATGCTTTTAATCCAAAATATGACTCTAATTGTTAAGTAATATTATCTATTTTTATTGTCTGTGTTTTAAACTAAATTACTTTATTAGTTGTTGACAAATATTCCCTTTTACAATTTTCATTTGTTCCATATGTATTTTTTAACTCCAAGAAGGGCTATCCATATGATACAGTATTAAATTTGCCAGTTCAAGAATGAGAGTGTATGATATAGGGATTAAGCTAATAAGGAACTTCAAAGAATCAGAAACCTGAAAGTACAGAAAGGGAAAAAATAAATACCAAAAGGTCTAGTCTAATTTCCATCTTTTGTTTCCAAAGTCTTTAGTAAAAATTATACTACTTATTTTTAGGCAGTACTTTATTACTTATAGAAAATTTTTGCATTTCACTCAATACCTGTCATTGACTATGTGATCTCTAGTTGAACACCTGTATGAAAGAAATCTTATTACTTGTAAGATATCTAGAACACCACACAGTTTTAACAGAAAGTTATTTCACCGAATCAAAGTTCTCCCCCTTCAAATTTACTCTTGTATGTAATATTCTATGCCAGGGGTCAATAGAGGATATCATTGCAGGTTCACAGTTAGAAAGACACATATATGCTTCCAACAACTACAAACAATATGCTTTTCTGATTACACACACACACACACACACACAATTAATTTTGGTGAGAGAAATTTATATTAATTTTATCATAAATGTTTGTCTTTTCAGACTCTATGCCTTCATAAACTGAATGAATTACCCCTCATTCAATCATTTTTCAACAAACAGACTCTGTACCTGCTGCTGGATCTGCTTGGTTCTGATGCCATAAATGACTGGGTTGAGGGCAGGGGGTATGACTACATAGAGATTAGCCAGAAGGATACGGATATACTTGGGGATGCCATAACCAAAGCAGTGAGTGAGAAAGGAGAAGAGAGCTGGACCAAAGAAGGCAAAGATGACACAAATATGGGAGCTACAGGTATTCAGAGCCTTCAGGAGGGCATCTTGGGAGGGGAGGTGGAAGACAGCGTATAAAATCTTAGCATAAGAGATAATGATGAGAATCACATCCAGAAACAAGATAGAAATATTCCCAAGACCATAGTAGACATTGGCATTAATGCTGGCACAAGCTAGACGTGCCACTCCCATGTGCTCACAATAGGTATGAGGGATGATTCTATGTCCGCAGTAAGGAAGCCTCAGGAGGAGAAAAATGATGGGTGCAATCATGCATAAGCTTCTTAGAACCACCACCATAGCAATCACACCAATGACTCTGTCGGTGAGGATCATACTGTACCTGAGGGGTTTGCAAATAGCCACATAGCGATCAAAACCCATGGCAAGAAGTACAATGCTCTCCATGACTGTAAAAAAGTGGACAAAAAAGACTTGAGCAACACAGCATCCAAAGCACAACTCCTAAAGGTTGAACCAGAAGATACCCAGCATCTTGGGGATAGTAGTAGTAGAGAGACTTAGGTCAATCACTGACAGCATGGCCAGAAGGTAGAACATGGGTTGGTGAAGGCTACGTTCAATCCAGATAACAACCAGAATGATAACATTTCCAACAAGAGCAATCAGATACACAGCACAGAAGAGAAATCCAAGCCAGATTTGTGCAATTTCCAACCCTGGAATCCCCAGCAATAGGAATGAAGAAGGGTGAGAGTCAGTGATGTTGAAAGAAGACATTCTGTAGGCTGACGATGGCATGATTTTCAAAAGTTATTGCTGTTTCCCATTGGACAATGCATTCATGTTGAACTGAGATCTACAAAAATTAAAAATAAAAATATTTCCTAACAAAAGATTGGTTTTGGAAATAAATTTTTCTAAAAACCTTTGATTCTTTCGTCTTTTTCAGCTCTCCATAAGTAATTCCAGTATCACTCCTGATGTACACCACAAGTGTGAGAAGCTAATGAGCCAGGTAGAGGCTAACACTGTGTCTTTTTTGAAATTATGGGTTCAGAGGAATTAAATGCACTAAATAAACAATATTAGGAGATAATAAAATTGAGAATAATAAAAACTGCCATGATAGTCATGGCTATCATTAATTTGGCATTGTTGTTGTCATTATTTCCAATATTATCTCATTTCGTTCTCCCCCACAGTTCCATAGCACAAGTTCTGCTGGTGTCTGGTTTATGGAAGAGTGAGACTTTGACAGGTTCATTAACTTCCCATTACTTACTATACTAATAAGCAGCATAATCAAGATGTGAAATTAGGTGAAACTAAGCTTTGTGACACTAATGTGGATCTGTCTTTGCAAACTTGTTCATTGAAATAGTGAAAGGAGGGAGAAGGAAAAATAAAGAGTAGAGAAACAAAGGACCTAGAATAACCAAACTACCTCAGAGCTAAGAATCGGGAAGATTTGCCATATCATCTATTGAAATTTTCTACAAAACTGTGATGATTATGGCAGTGTTACTGTTAAAAGAAGAAAAAGAAAAAGAGACAATGGAACAGAACTGAGAATCTAGCAGCAGACCCACAAAATTCTTAGGGTTCAGATATCCAAAATTAAGATATTCCCAAGTAGGAAGTTAAGATAAATTGTCAAGGAGGAATGATAATCTTTCCCAGATGAAGTTCTTTCTGAAGAACCTGTTGACTTCTATAGCTGTTGAGAGGAAAATGTGATAATTAAATCTGATCTGCGCTCTGGAGCTGGCTACACAGCAAAGTTTGAAGGCACAGTTCCTGATAAGGTCTTCACTTCTGACATCAACTGCCAGTTCAGGAAGTTTTCCAAACTACCCCCAAGTTTAGTAATCTACTAGAAGGGCTCACAGAACTCCCTGAAAACTATTACACTCATGGTTACAGTTTATTATAGGGAAAAATTTAAATCAGACAAAGGAAGAGATGCTCAGGGCAGAGTGTGAGGTTTATAAATATAAAGAATCCATTGTCCTTCTGCATGGAGTCAGGATGAGTTACCCTCCTGGCATTAATGTGTGACAATATGTATAGAGTCGTATTGCCAACCAGGGAAGCTCACCTTAGCTTTGGTGTCCATAGTTTTTACTGGAGCTTCATTATGTATACATGATTGATTTATTGCACAGATGGTTGAACTCAATCTTCAGACTGATGCCACATGACCCAAAGTCTTCTTCCTAAGTTATATTGTTGTTATTTATGTATGGCCAGTCCCCTCACATTAAGATCTGGTTTGAGCAACCCCCGCCCTAAACTCCTATCAGATATGACAGATTACTTCCTAGAAGCCAAGAACAAAGGCCAGACCTCTCTTAGGTAAGGCAAAATTCCTTTCTATACATCTATTCATTTAGTTCCAAAGATATTTTTTGTTTTTGCTGTAGCTATGATTTTCACCTCTTCTCTTCTCTTGGGTCATGGTATCAGTTGTAAAGTCAGGTCTCCCAATAATCAAGGTTGAATTCAGTTTAATCCTTTTGAAATGTAAAGTATAGAGAGAGACCAACAGCTGATCAGCATATTGTATCCTTTTTCATATCAGGGATATGTGTGGAATCAGTCTAACTATAAGGGAGTTCAAGCTCATTACTCTATCCTTAATTGCCTACTATGACTTTTTTTTTCTTTGTATCTCACTCACTATGAAGGCAATATGTATAGGAAAAAGAAGCAAAAGTAATAGCATTTAATATCACTGGCATTGTGGTATGGAATGGATTCTGATTCTATTCTTGCTGGATGAGGTTTTATGTGCCTGAACGAGTGTCGGTGCCTAGCAGATATTTCCTTTCCAAATTTTTCCCAGCTTAGTCTTCTTCCTACATCTCCCCAGACCAGTGATCTGTGCCATTTCATTCCCTACCCCAATACTCTAGGTCTTAACTCAATTTCTATGAAACCAGTTACAATCTTAAGCATATATTGTAGACTCACTGATCAGAAAAACTTACCAAGTTCCCTATCTTACATCTTAGGGAGTCATTTAACAACTCTGAATTCAGATGCTGAAATTTACATACATATATATATATAACCTCAATACACACTAAGAAGTATTAACAAAATGTTGTTGTGTGTGTTGAGGGGATTTGTAATGAAGTCTTCAGGTGCCAGGTAGTCTGAGACATTGAAATGAAAAAAATAGGGAGTCCCTTTGGTCATTACACCAGCCAAAGAGAAAGCTCTAGGGAAATTTCAGTGAACCTTGCTGTCTGCTACTCAGTCAATTGACAGTTTTTGTTATTTCACATAATATTTATGATCATTAATATTTTATCTTTTTCTCTCCTTCCTTCTTCCTTATTCTGTTTTCAGTCTGTGAAATGCTTGGACTAATTCTTTGGAATATATCTCTATCTCTATCTCTATCTATCTCTATCTCTATCTCTATCTCTATCTCTATCTCTATCTCTATCTCTATCTCTATCTCCAGCAACTCTGTTCTGTTTTCAGTCTATGAAATGTTTGGACTAATTCTTTGGAAGATAGGTATATATAGATATATCTCTATATACCTATATATATCTCCAGCAACTCTTTTTTTATTGTGAAATATACATAAAAATTAGCATTTTAGTCATTTTAAAGTTTACAACTCAGTAGCACTTAGTACATTTACAACACTGTGCAACTGTTACCACTATCTAGTTGTATAAAACGTCATCACTCCAGAATGAAATCCTGTGTGCATTAAATAATCACTTCCCATTCTTCCAGCTCCAGGCATCAGATCAGATTTGCTGTCTCATTTCTCTCATTGGTTGCAGAAGTCAACAGCTATGAGGAAGAAACTTCAAAGCTTAACATTTACTTTTGCTCACTTAAACTCCTATTTGGGGATAGAAATTTTAAAAATGTACTCTATGCATACAATAGGATATTATCCAGCCTTAAAAAAGAAGGAAATCCTGCCATTTCAACAACAGGGATGAACCTAAGGACATCATACTAAAGTAAAATAAGCCAGTCACATAGATAAATATTGCATGATCTCAGTTTTATGTGGAATCTCAAAAAAAAAAAAAAAGGCAAAACTAACAGTAACAAAGTAGAATGGTGGTTACAAGACCTTGGCACATGTGTGAAAAGGGGAGAGTTTTAAAAAAATGTATATTGGTAGTGACTAGAGATGGTGAGAGGGAACCATGGAGAAATTACTGTAAATGGGTACAGATTTTCAGCTTTTGCAAAATGAAGAAAGTCTGGAGATAGTGGTTATGGTGTACAAAACAAGAATCTCCTTAATGCTACTGAAACTTAGACTTAAAAATGGTGAAGATAGTAAATTTTATGTTATGTGTAGTCTATCATAATAAAAATTGAATAAAATGGGAAAAAATGGAAAGGAAAAATATGTATGTTATAGGAAACTACAAGAGATGTAGAGATCATATCAGAATGTTTCATACAGAAGACTATCATGGAGGACCTGGTATTGAAGGAGAGTAGATATGTACTGCAATGTGAAGTATTTTCAGTTCCTACAAATATCTCATATTATGATTAATTTAAGGCACAGATAATATTGCCAATGAAAAATCTCAGAACAATGTGTATGAAGAGCACTACTTTATTCAGTTACCCTCTGGAAAGAAGAGACTGTCTAATGTTTGTAACCAACCTCTTCTGCCCTTGCCTCTCGCATACGAATTAAAGTTCTTTTCATTTCTTAGGACCTTGATAAGAAAAAGACCAAAAAGAGAATAAGATCCCTACACTTTGACAGGAATTCAGTGACACTTGCTTGAAGCATGACTTCCACCAATGACACCCAGTTCCATCCCCCCTTCTTTCACCTGCTAGGAATCCCAGGACTGGAAACTGTCCACATCTGGATTGCTTTCCCATTCTGCATCGTGTACCTGATTGCCCTCGTGGGGAACATCACCATTCTTTTTGTGATCAAGACCAAACACAGTCTCCACCAGCCCATGTTCTACTTCCTGGCCATGCTGTCTATGATCGATCTGGGTCTGTCCACATCCACCGTCCCCAAAATGCTGGGCATCTTCTGGTTCAAGTTCCAAGAGATCAGCTTTGGGGGCTGCCTTGCTCAAATGTTCTTTATCCACATGTTCACAGGCATGGAGACTGTTCTCCTGGTGGCCATGGCTTATGACCGCTTTGTTGCCATCTGCAACCCTCTCCAGTACACCATGATCCTCACGCATAAAACCATTGGCATCCTGGCCTCTGTTGTTGTTGGAAGAAACGTCATTCTGGTGACTCCGTGTTTCTCATCCTGAGGCTGCCCTTCTGTGGGCATCACATCATCCCTCATACGTACTGTGAGCACATGGGTCTTGCCCGGTTGGCCTGCGCACTCATCAAGGTCAACATTATCTATGGGCTCATGGTGATTTCCAACATCATTGTGGATGTGATCCTGATTGCCTCCTCCTATGTGCTTATCCTTCAAGCTGTTTTCCGCCTTCCTTCTCGGGACGCCCGACTAAAGGCTCTCAGTACCTGTGGTTCTCATGTCTGTGTCATGCTGTGCTTTTACACACCAGCATTTTTTTCTTTTATGATGCATCGTTTTGGTCGAAACATTCCCCGCTATATCCACATCCTTTTGGCTAATCTATACGTGGTTGTCCCACCTGCCCTGAACCCAGTCATCTATGAAGTCAGGACCAAGGAGATCCGAGAGAGGGTTGTGAAGATATTTGTACAGAAATAAGAGTTCTGTGCCAACACTTGGAAAACACAGGCACATACTACCCACATTTTAATAATCTCACCTCTGTTTTAGATTTCCTTTAGAGTAGGTAGTAGTAGCCAGATTTTTATTTGTTACTGGAATTCCTTTAGAGTTGGCAGATAAGCCAAAACCACCTTTGCTGCCCACTCTGCTCACCCACCCCATGTAAGTGGACAAAGGGAAAGCGCTGATGGAAAAGGAAGGTGTCCTGGAGGCAGCAGTGGTTTGGGAGTAGAATGCCTGATGGGAAAGGGTGAGAACTCTCCCCATTGCTCTGTGTCTTCTCTTTAGCTAAGCTTAGATCCTGAAGGGACACTGATCCAACGATGTCATTCTGTAGATGAAGAAAATAAAGTGCAAGCCATGGCTGAGTGACAATTTTTGAATTAGAACATCTGTTCCATAGAAGTATATTCTGCATATTAATCCTCAAGCTTTGTCTTCCTTCTCCAGAGTCATTACTCATTTGCATTTTAATGCTCCCTTTCTTGTTCTTGCTGTTATTCTTGTTCCCTTTCTTCTTTCTAATCTGATTCCTCCCATCTCCATCCCTTCCTCCCTCCCTCCCTCCCTCACTCTTTCTCCCTCCCTCTTCCTCCTGCCTTCTCTCCCTCTCTCTTTATCTCTTTCTATCTCATCGTCCCTGTTTCTCCAGTAAACTAAGTATCTGTGACTTGAAGAATGTGTGAGACTACAGCTTAGGATCAAGGATACATGATATTTTCTCACTTGACACTAAGTCATGTTAGATGTCAATAATTGTATATGTGCTGTGTCTAGTTCCAATTGAATTCTACCTAATATTTACCTAGTTTGCTATACTGTTTTCATTCATGATTTTAGAAAATTTCGAGAAGAAATTAGGATCATTATATGATAAAGACAAAAGCAGTCTTGATATCAAGTTCAGAACAATCTCAGTATAATTTATTAATCCTGTAGATTTCCAATATGTATTCCCATTTCTAAACTCCAGATATATCAAGGGGGTATAGTTTGCTCTCCTTTAGCAGTATGTTATAGCTTTTAATATAAAAATATCACACTTCCTTGGTTGAATTTATTCCTTAATATATATATTATTATTTTTTGATGGTGTTGTAAATGGAATTTTGTTCTCAATTTCTTTTTTAGATTATTCATTGCTAGTATATGGAAATACATCTGATTTCTGTATGTTAAAATTGTATTGTGTAACTTTGTTGAATCCATTTATTACCTCTAATACATTTTTTGGTATATTCTTTACAATATTCTTTACATAAGATTATATCATTTATAAATAGACATAGTTTACTCCTTCCTTTCACATTTGAATGAGCTTTTTTTTTGCCTAATTTCTCTAGCTAGAACTCCCAGTACAATGTTAGATAGCAATGTTGAAAGCAGGCATTCTTGTCTTGTGTATGATCTTAGGGAGAATGTTTTCAGTCTTTCATTATTGAGTATGATACAAACTTTATATTCTTAGGGATATTTTTCTGTTGTTTTTTTGTGAAAAAAAATTACATTCTGCAATGTAACGACAACCCCACACACCCCTTATTTGTGTGTGTGTGTGTGTGTGTGTGTGTGTGTGCGTGAGAGAGAGACAGAGAAGGAGAGAGATGGGGGGGTAGAAATGGCTTCTTGAGTGCACCAGATATTTTCTAGTATAATCAACTGTATTCTGTATTTTGATATTATTTCTTCAAGGTCAGGCAGAGATGACAGATTAGAGATTTCTCAGGTCCTTCCTGGACATGTACATGGTCATTGCATGTATGTGGCTTTATAGTTTAGGATTATTTCAGAACTTTGAAAAACTCTGTATGGTCAATACATTCCCCATTTTTTCCTTTTATCTCAGTCTCTTTTTAGGTCCAATTAATATTCCTGCTTCAGGAAGCTGCAATGTTAAGTAATTTCTACTTGTTTTTGAGTAATAGCCCAGGGAAAAGGCTGCTCATAGTAAATGAGATTTGAGTCAGGTCATATAAAGATACACCCTATTGAGGGGTATTTCCTGGCAGCTGTCAGACAGGTTCAATAGTTACAGGTCCATGGGAATGGATCTCCAGGATATTATTTATCCCCGTCCCAGGGGAAGTGGGGCTAAGAAAGATATAAACATCTTCTATTCAGCATAATAAGACATGTCCCAAGAAAATACCACAGAATGTTTCTTGGAGATTTAGAGAACAACGTAAGTCATATCATGATTAAATTGTAAAAAAACAGCAAAAGGGATGAGGAAAGAGCTTATGGCAAGGTAGTATGGAGAGATAGTATGGAGAGATGGAGGAAAGATGAAAATGAAAACAAGATAGAGAGAGAGTGTACACTCATATTCCTAACCTCCTGAGGCTACACTTTTGCCTGTGTGTGTTTATACTTATGACTGTGCAAAATCTCACATGTAAAACTAAAAGGTGAGATGTGGAAAGAGATGCACAAATGCATCCTGTATCAGTTTACGCATTGTTTCTGACTCTTCGTATGGCTGCATAAATGTGAGTATCAAAATGGTGAGGACTTGCTTTCTCTATTTCTAGAACTGTGTCAGGAATAGTAAAGGTGAATGACTAATCAGTGTTTCTGAATTAATGAATTCGTGAATAAATGAATCTTGATGGATGGCCCTGAGGGATATACTTCTTTTGGAAATGAGACCTAGATTGATGAAGCATCTGAGAAAATTAATAAGGGGCATGAAAGCAGTATAGCCATGAGACTGCAAGATTAGGTGAGTATGGGAAAGTAGGTGTCCGCCAGCTCTCTTCCTTCTGCCAGCAGTTCCAGGAAATGGGAAAGTGGATACAGTGGGTATAGTGGAGGTTGGTGGAATAACGTAGAATAAAGGGACGACACATGAAGGAAATGGCTGCTGGATTGGTGGATATAATTTCATGTAGCACCTTAGAGTTAAGAATTGTTCTGTGAGTTCTTAGCTTCAGAACTAATCTCCTTCATGTAATTTTTCTTGCTCCACCTCCACATTCACAGCATTCTGTGCACACTCCTAACACACACTTGCAATGCAATTTTTAAATTTCATCTTCGGAATTTTATCTTTCTTACCACTTAGTGGCCTCCATTTCTCTCTAATGGAGCCTTGTCAGTTTTGACTTACACCAAAACCCAAGTATTCCTAAGGTTGAATCAAAGCTTTCTGCACAATTGCATGCATCACATTCAATCAGCTCTACATTTTCTGTGGGACTAGTTTTTCCCAAATAAACTGTGAAGTAATGAACTTCTTCCTTTTTGTTTTAAATTTTTAATTTAATATAAATAAGTTCAGAGTTCCCACATATTCTGGATGAGTGCTATAAAATGAAATCATTTGATACTTCCCCTTCCAATGTGACTTTAAGGGAGGCATCAGTAAAGACATTAGAGGTAGGATAGACTCTTGGTAGGAGCTGAATTTGACGATGTCTAAGATGTTCCTGCCCTCTCCCCATGGGTATAAAGCAGAGATATATTTGAAACTTTGCCCAGAATATTTAGTTTTCCTTCCCCCGGGTGGCCTATATCTGGACATTTTGTTTACTGGGTATATTTACTCTCCTAATGATAAGTTTACCTAGTTTAAAATAATCTCTCAAGTCATGTTTAACCATAACTGTAAAATATTTTTGTCAACTATCTCCCTCTCCTAGTCATTATTTTTCAAATCTGATAGGTAATTTTTTTCAAGAACAAATTATGATAGGAACTGAGTTGTTTATTTTCTGAAATATGACACTGAAATTGTTTGCTCTTCTGTCTCTTCTTCTTTAAGACTTTATTTATTTTTTTGAGAGAGACAGGTAGAGTGCATGTGCATGTGTGGACATACAAGCACAGGGGATGGGCAGAGGGACAGAGAGAGAGGAAGAAGCAGACTCCCAGCTGAGCAGGGAGCCCAATTTTGGGCTTGATCCCAAGACCCTAAGATCATGACCTGAACCAAAAGCAGCTGCTTAACCAACTGAGCCACCCAGGTGCCTCTTGGCCTGTCTCTTTTTAATTAGTTCCTCTATTTCAGAATTTCTTAAATTGACAACTTTTATGTGGTGGAGTTTTTTTCATGCATATGAATAAACAAAGATAAATTGTTTCTTCTGCTCTAAGAACCAGACCATCTAGTATTCACAAGTGCCCATAGAAATGTATAAACACAAATATGCACACAACATGCATATGAACACAGAGGATTATGTACACTACATTTTGGGGTTTTTAGATTCCCTAATAGGGGAATGACTGGGATTACAAACACCAAACAAAGAACTATGCACATTAAGTAAAAATATGTGGAACATGATCAGATACACAGACTATGGAATTTAATCTTTCTCATTTATTTCTGGTTACACTCCAGAGTTTGAATTTAAACTATACCTCTTGTCTTTTTGTCAGTTTTCTTATTAGGTACAGTGGCAGCAGATTAAGGCTGGTTCTGCTTCTGGTACCATTCGATGTTCAGGAGAGGATTACACAAAGTGAGGAGTGTCTTTAATCTTCTTTCCTTTTTCAAAAAATGTAGTTATAACTGACATAAAAAATTCCTTAAATTCAAGGTATATGGTGTGTTGATTTGATGCATTTATATATTACAGTATGATTACCACCATAGTTTTTTCCTATCATGTTACATAATTATCAATTTCTTTTTTGGTGTGAGAACACTTAAGATATAGTCTTTCAGCAATTTCAAAGTATATAATATTGTACTGTTGACTAAAATAATTACTTCTTTCTGAGTTAGAATGAGGGAATCAAAATTGAACATAATAATAGAAAGTTTAAAAAAATGTTCTTTTGCATTTTATCAGAAATCTGGACAAAGGGAGAAGAGGAGAAAAATTCACTAATGTGAAGTCAATAATTGCATCCACAACAGAAGTGTGCAAAAATTGTGGCAGAAAGAATGGCTATACTTAATGACACTCAGTTCCATCCTTCTTCACTCCTCCTCTTGGGTATCCCAGGTTTGGAAGGTGTGCACATTT